GATGTGACATGCACTGTCCCCTGAAAACAGAGTACCTACTGATGGGAAATGAGCTCTTCAGTCTACCTGTTATTATGTGTCATCGAGCTATGACTTGTATCAACCATATGAACAACAGACATGAACTACACCCTATCCCGTGGCATCCTCACTATCTCTGACATGCTCACAGTCCTTGTCACAGTCAATCCACCTTGTTGAGGGTCTTCTTCTCTTTGACCTAACAGAGAAAGATGTCTTCTCCCACGGACTGATTTGTTCAAGCACATAAGATGAAGTTTCACTATCCTTACCTCTAAAGAACCACCTGGTTGCATCTCACCCAAGATAGATTTGTCCATTCTCTCGGCAGTCCATGAGATCTATTCAGTACTCTTCACCAACATCATAATTCAAAGTCATTGATTCTTCCTGTGCCATCCTTATTTACTATCTAACTTTCAGAAGCATAGGAAATGAAAAGACTATGGCTTGGATCAGACACACCTTAGTCTTTAAACTGACATCGTTGCTCTTTAGCACTTTGGAGAAGCCGCTGTCAGCAGATTTTCCCAATGCAACACATCCTTTGATTTCTTGACTGCAGGTACAAGGGAGTTGATTGTGGAGTCAAGTAAACAGAAATTGTTGACTTTAATAATTTCTCCATCTAGCATGATGTTGTTTATTGGTTTAGCGGTGGGGAGTTTTATTTTTTCTTTTCTACTAGTTTATTTCCTGTCTTTCATTGTTTTTGTTCAGACATCCCTCTAGGTCAGATAGCCCTGGTGTACAAGTTGCCATACTGCGGTCACTTTTGGTTGCTGTGTGCCTGAACTCTGTGACACTGATATGTCAAATGCGTTAATGGTTGGCTACCCAATACGGACAGAGAGTGGGGTGGAGCTCCCTGATTAAAACAAGTTTGGAAGGAGGAGTGGCATCCACTTCCATAATAGCTTGCCTCCAGAAACCCGGTGAACCTGGAGAGAGGATGAAAGGCACCCAAGTGTCGAGGACTCTCCTTCATAGGGTCGCTATGAGTTGCCTGAGACTCACTTAACAACAACAACAACTAGTTTATTTACAAAATTTGAATACAAATGCAAACAAGTTCTTTCAATTTCCCTCACCCCCCCTATCAAATTTACAACCTGATAATTAATCCCCCTCTTCCCCTGCACATCCACATCCCTCTGCTTCCAACCTCTCCCACCCCTCTTGGATCCTTATACTCATTCTACAATAACGGTTTTATATAATATTTATCCTTGTAGGACTGAGTTATTTCACTCAGCATAATGACCTCCAGTCCCTCCCAAGTTAGGTAATAATTTACAGTTATTCCTCCTGCGTGCTGCATAGTATTCTACTGTGTGAATGTACCATAATTTCTCAATCTATTCGTTTGTGGTTGGACATCTGGGCTGTTTCCATATTCTTGTGATGGCGAATAATGCTGCTATGAGCATTGGTGTACAAATCTCTGCTTTCTTGAAATTAAGATGTAATCCTCAGTCTGTAGTAGACCAAAATTTTAACCCCTTTGGGGATAGCTCTACATTTACATATCCTAAAGCAAAACCCTTTTCCCTTGTCCCTCTGTGATAGGAGCTCAGTTGATAAAGTTGTCAAAGCAGCCAGCTGTCAATCAAATGGTTTGTAGTTTGAATCAACCAAGGTTCTCTGTGGGAGGGAAAGCTGGCAAACTGCTCCTGTAAGCGGTTCAGTCCAGAAAACCCTCTGTGATGGCTCTACTCTGTTCTATAGGGTTGCTATGAGTCAGAATTGACTTGATGACACATAGCAACAATAACTTCTGTAATAGCTAATTATATGTCAGTCTGGCTAGGCTATACGGAGCTCCAGTGGCAGAAGGGGTAAGGTGTTGTACAGCCAATCCAAAAGCAAGAAGTTTGAATCTATCAGCTTCTCTATGAGCTGTCTCCAAAGCACAAAACCCCAACAACTGTGCTACTTGCACAATTTGTCACAATGAACCTCTTTGGCAGGTCAAATTTAAACAAAGGTCCTTATCACAGGACCAGTGTCCAACAGCACGAGAGAAGGATAAACTATCAATGATTTCATCTTACTTGGATCTACAATCAACACCCTTGGTACAAGCAGTCAAGAGATAAGAAGACATAGTGCTTTGAGTAAGAATTCTCTCAAGGACCTCTCCAAAATACTGAAGAGCAATGATGTCAGTTTGAAGACTGAGGTGTTCCTGATTCAGACCATGGTCCTTTCCATTATTTCCTACACATCTGAGAGCCGGACAGTGAGTACAGATGACAGAGAAGAATTGATGTCTTTGAATTGTGGTGCTGGAGAGGAGTATTGGACTGCCAAAAGAACAAACAGGTATGTCTTGGAAAAGGTGCAGCAGAGAGCTCCTTGAGACAAGGATGGTGAAGCGTCATTTCTCATATTTTGGGCAAGTTGCTAGAGAGGCTACTCCTTAGAGAGGGATAGGGATGTCATGCGTAAAAGGGGGAAGGAGCAGAGAAAGAGGAGAAGATTCCCAGCAAGACAGATTGACACAGTAATTGCAGCCATGTGCTCAAGAGTGTCAGACATGGATGGCACAGGATAGGACAGGATTCAGATCTACTGTTCATAGGGTTGCTATGAGTCGTACTCGATCTGATGGCACCTAACAACATGCAGGAAAAATATGGGACATCTCCTCTTTGCCATTTACAGTCTCTAAAATCCCTCTGAGGGTTAGCTCTGAGTTGGTTTCACCTCAAGAGCAGGGAGTGAGGGTGTTTGATGTCAGTGAGCTCTGGTGGTACAATCCAGAGGAAACCCAAAGGCAAGAGGATCAGAACAGAAAGGCAAACATAGGAAAGAGAAAGAGAAAGAACTTGCTAGCTAGCTAGAGAGTGAGCCAGCAAAGAGCTCAGCTGTGAACTCAAAGGTTTGCAACCGGAACCTACCAGCTGCTCCTTGGGAGAAATATGGGACAGTAGGTTTTGTAAAGAGCTAGAGCCTGCTGGTTCAAATATACCAACAACTCCAGCAGAAGAATGAGCAAACAAGCCTCTCATGTGATTTACTGCTTCTCGAAAGCCACTCTTCACTTCTCTCCCTGAAAGAGAGTCAGCAGTGTGTCAGGTCCTACGTGACAGTGATGCCATTGAGTTTTTCAGTGTTCCTCAGATTCATATTTGTCCTTTGCACCCAGTGATTTTCTTTTCACTGCCCCAAGTTCAACCAGGTCTTTGGAATCTGGTGTTTTATAGCTAAGGTATATTTTACAAGCCTTTTTTGAAAGCAAGAACATGCCGAAAACAATAGAGGTGGCGGAAAGGGCATATACTTCCAGGTCAAGATGATTTGGAGTCCTGACTCTCCATTGAAAGAAAGACTTGAAAAATTTGCATATTTCTCTGAGCCTCAGCTTCTCTGTAACAAATAGATGAAATATCTAAATAACTGATTTGTTCAAAGGAAAATGGAATTTAGTCCAATGCCTAGAATCTGACAGGTGTTCATTATTCAGAAGCTACACTGAAACGAATGGCTAGAGAAGCTGTGGTATATTCGCACAATGGAATACTATGCTGCATTAAAAAACAAGGAACTCATGCAATATTATTCAAAATGGTTGACTCTGGAGAACATTATGCTGAGTAAAATATCCCAGTCACAAAAGGACAAATATTACATGATGCCACTGTTGTAGAATGGGACTGTCCTTGGGGTTGGGGAGAGACTGAGTAAGATGGGTTCAATAATGTATACTGCACTGAAACAGAGGAGGGAGAGAACCGTCTAAAAGAGAGATGTAACTGGGTATTTCTGTCATCACAGGAGACTAGAGCGAGGGCTGCATGGTGGAGGGGACCTGGGGGAGGGTTTGTAAAACAATGAAAGAATCTTTTCTTTTACTTTTCCATAATTTTTGGACTCATGTACTTATAACTTGTTAGTCAAATTTGTGTCTTCTAGGTTGCAACAGCCCCATGATACATCTTGAAGGATATGTACATGTACAGCCAAGCACAATCAATAAGAGTGCATCTGAATTCCAAAATCAATCTCCATAATAGTCTATGTGTTTCCTACTGCCAAAGGGGCCCTTTAGAGTAGTGAGAGAAGATCTTCACCCTGAAACCCACAGCATCCCTTTTCAGCAGGAAGTAGCTAAGAGAATACGCCGTCCCCTTTTCCTTATGACTCAGGGTGAAGTCTCTCTCAGGGAGGAGTGATAGGGAATGGCAAAGGATACACTGACAAAGAAGATTAATCAGAACTGGCTTTGACAAGCACTGTGGCATTTGGACAAGAACAAACTGGGAGGAGGGTAGAGAGAATAGTGCAACAATGAATGAGTGGAAGCCCAAAATCTCTGTAAATGTTTATGAAAATTAATAAAATATAATTATAGGAAAAAAAAAAAAGAAGCTACACTGAACCAATAACATATTTTTTTTAAAAGCTACATTGTTATTACTGGGGGTTTTTTGTGTTTGTTTTTATTGTGTGTGTGTGTGTGTATGTGTGTGTGTGTACCGTCAAATCAGATCCAGCTGGTACAGAAGGAAAATGCCTCTCTTTCTCCAGTGGAGCATCTGATGGATGATATTATTTGTTTTTAATCTCTACATGTCTCAGCCTATAGAGACACATAAATATTAAGTCTGGAAAAAGTGAAAACATAAAGCATAATCATAGTATTATGTTTTTACAGAAACATCCGTCTCCCTGATTTCTCTTTGAGTGTAAACTACTTTTTACATTTTTAATCCATTAATCCAGCTTATTAGAAAAAGTTCATTTACTAACAAAAAAAGGGAAAATGAAGACTTTTAATGACAGCAAAAATCTTCTCATTATTTTTTATTTAAATAAGACATTCAGGGAATAATTTTAGTAAGGAAGAAGCAGCTCACTTCCATTCCTCTTAACAAAACTTCTTAGTTAAATGTTAAAACTCTGGAACAGGTTTTACAACAGTGTACTCACCGTGGTATCAGTTTAGCAATATTGTTATCACACAATACACTTACTTATTCCAGGTAATAAACGTTGCTCTCTGCGTGGATATGCCGAGGCCAACAATCTGATGCATCCCTATACCTGAAGCTGAAAACAAAGACACATAAACATGTGTGTGAGAATTCACGGCAAGCAGGAAAAATACAGTTACAATCTGGGTATCTACATGTTCTGTAAATGTTCATTCAAACTACAGCAAAAATTTTCAAAAAAATAAAAGCTCAATAAATAAGCATCATGTGAACTGATGAACTGGGATAAGCGTGGGGAGAAGTCTGTGATATTGAGATAATATTTAAACTTTCTACCAAACTTATTCCTCTGGTGGCCTAGTGGTAAGAAACTGCACTGAAATCTCAAAGGCATGGGGTTCAAATCCACCAGCTGCTGCTCAGGTAAGAAGGAGGGGCAATCTCCTCTCAAGCGATTAATGGCCTCTGAAAACCCAGTGGAGGGTCAGCTATGGGTCAGTTTCAACTGAAAGGCACACAACCACCAAATTATTCCCTGAATGCAAATCAAACCTGTTGTTGCTGTTATGTGCCATCGAGTCACCTAAAACTCATAGGGACCCTACGTACAACAACCTTAAACCCTGATCTATCCTGTGCCAATTTTCTTACATACCTCCCTCCATTACCCCAGTCATTGAATCAATCCATCTTATGAGGGTCTTCCTTTCCTGCACTGTCCCTCCACCCTCCCAAGCATGATGTCCCCTTCCAAGCACTGGTCTCATCTTGCAATATGCCCAAAGTATGTCAGACAAAGCTTTGGAATCCTTGTCTCCAAGAAGAAGCCTGGTCTCATGCGCCCTAGGACAAACCTGTTTGTTCTCCTAGCAACCCATGGGATATTCAATACTCTTCTCCAGCACCACAGCTCAAAGGCATCAATTCTCCTATCATCCCGAGTCATTGTACAGTGCTCTGATGCACAGCAAGTAACTGCAAAGACTATGGCCTGACCAGGCACACCTTAGTCTCCAGAATGACATCATCACTCTTCAGTACTTTGGAGAGGTCCCTGACAGCTGACTTTCTCAATGCAATTTGTTTTTTTTTTTTTTATTTCCTGGCTGCTGGTACCAAGAGTGTTGACTGTGGAACCAAGCAAACTAAAGCTGTTAACAATCTCAATCTCTTCACTATCTATAGTGATGCTGTCAAATAAGTAAATCAAACCTACTGTTAATGAATCAGTTTCAACTCACACAGACCCTACAGGACAGAAATGCCCCTTAAAGTTTCTAAGGCTGTAAATCTTGATGCAAGCAGACTGCCTCAGTGGGTCTGAACCACTAAACTTCTGGTCAGCAAAGGGCCACCTAATCCACTCCACCACCAAGGATCACAATGTACCACAAGGACTCCTAAAACATCCCTCGAAATCTTCTTAAAACCAACAGTCAATCCTTTAGTATGCCTTAAGACTATGATCTTTCAAGAACTTTCTCTACTGGATCCAATTGAAAATAGCAACTTGAAAGACTAGCTGGGAAAAGTGAATTTATTATTTCAGTGGGAGGAACAACAAAGAATAAGAGGGAGAGTAGAGTTGCAGAAGCAGAATGTAAACAATGTCATTAAACTGTATGAAATACAGAAACTGCTGAGCCTCTGCATGTATATTCTCTTTTTTTTTTTTTTTGCATGTATATTCTCAACAGCAAATAAGATTTAGGGGGAAAAAGCCAATGACACTTTTCGTTACAATATTACAAAGTGGGAAAGGAATTGCATAATATTATTTCTCAGATAAACATATGGGTTTATTAACATTTCAATAAAACAAATAGACTTAGTAAAATATTTTCAAATTATTCGGTAGGTTTTTATTAAAGGAAAAAGGATCCTATTCTAATTGCACTAAAATGGTCTTCTCACTTGAAATATGACAGGCCTAGTGTTAAGAAATTGTGCTGCCAACAGGCACATGGTTCAAGTCCACCAACTTCTCCTTGGGAGACAGATGGGCCATTTCCTCCTATGTGATTTACAGCCTCTGAAAACTGACTAAAGGTTTAGCTATGAATTGGTTACAATTCAATGGCACATAAGAACAACTGGAAAGTGAATTCCACAAAATACAATTTTTAAAATTATAACTTAGAAAAGCCACAAAAGAGTACAGAAGCCTGAAGAAGACTCTTACTACAAAGTATACTTTAGGGACTATTTTTAAAAATCCAATTACCTTTGACAGTTTCTTTGATCACAGCAACAAACTGATTCCATAGAACATCGGGATCAATTTCAACCCAGCCAGTTTGAGGATAAAGACTTTGTACCTATTTATGAAAAGAAATGATTCAGTCCAGGGGTAAACAGGCTAAGTCAACACTAACTGGCTCGTAAGTCTAGTTAAAACTATTCACTACAGAATTTTATTTCTTAATGATATTTTCTTGTTATAAAATAAGAACATATCTACATGCAATGTTTAAAAAAAGTATATAT